AGGTATTAAATTCTTATCAGAACCTAGATCTGCGCTTTGGTATTCTGCGAAATCAATAAACTCTAACACAATAAATTCCTCGCGGTATGCCCGCGTTCCCACGACACAGCCCGCACCGGGGTTAGGGGGGTGGCCCCCATTACCCCCCAAACCGTATATTAACGTCTGACGTCACACTATATGTCACTAGTGCCCATTTTGTTATGTAAGTTATTTAATAAAACTTTGTATTCTTAGTTTAGCGTATTACTAAGAAGCCCTACTGGTTTGATTGTGATCTGTTGTTTAACATAACAATGTAGTTTTTCTATGTTTATAGTCTCACAGCTGACCTAGCAAAATTGTATTGCGCGTGTTAGCTGTTAACGACCTTTGTCTATCACGCTGTGTCAGGAGCCGCTGCGAGCGTTCAGTGTTGGAGTCCCGTGCACGCGTTCGCGAATTCCTAGCTCTATTTCCTTCAAGTCGCTGAGGCGAACTTACATTTTGTTCTGCAAGACGAACCTGAACGACGATAGATTCTTTTGCCCGCGATTGGGACGTACACTCTAATACCTTCCAGACGATAATTTTAGGAAGAAGACTGTCCAATATGACGAACTTTTGCTAATCTCGCTTGGGAACTATTCTTAGATAGCTGCGACCTTCTTCTTCTAGGCATATAGCTATGGAGGATGTTTATTTTAAATCAGAGAAATTAAGAATAAACTAATAACAAAAAAAGAAAATATTCAACTTCAAAGCTATAGTTCTGAAAAGAACTTTGACAAAAATTATGCAAAGTGTGATTCCTAATACTAAAACTAAGTAACTCTGAAAATAACTTTTTAAGTGAAGCATAAAAATGTAAAAAAAAAATCGAAATATTCAATGTCGTTCGCGTAAGGAGCCCACTGCCCCTCTATCGTCGAATTAGTTACTCGATGCGCGGCGTGGCGGCCACCGCCGACATGCATTTTTATTTTAACTTCGTGATATCTTTTGAATGGAGTGTCCGATTTCAATAATTAAAAAAGTAATCATCAGGTATTGAGACAGTCTTGAATATTAAATTATTTATTTGGATAAAAATTTATAAATTGTATGGTACACACGGTCTGATTTTGATCGGCATTTCTATCAATTTGTTAAAAATAAAAAAGTAGTTATAGCGACGTAACTACAATAGTTAGACATATGCTCTCGGGATGTTTTTTGTAGATATTGATATATTCTATAATATTGTTGAACATTTTTTTCTATCATATCCTATCATTGATACTTTTCGCAGCGTATGCGAAGAAAGACCTACGCCTTCCGTTGGTTTAAGTAAGAATTTCTATAGATGTCTATAGTAATCGAGTATTTAATATAACCTATGTTACTCAGTGATAATGTAGCTTTCTAATGAAACAAGAATTATTAAAATCGGTCCAGTAATTTCCGAGTTTACTAATAACATACAAAAATACACATCTTTCCTCTTTATAATATTAAAAAGTATAGAAGAACAACTTTTCTTATTAAATACTGTCTGTAGTTTACGCGGGAGTACGTTTAGATAAAACACGGGTCTCCCCACGACCACGGCTGCTGCAAAGTCGAGCCGTAGTTAAAATAATTTTGAAATAAGATTAACTAATTTATATATCGCGTTTTAAACCGTTAGTGTTTTATTTAAATCACGTATATAAAATATTAGTTCGAAGTATTATGACCCAATCAAATACTTATATATCGCGTTCTAAACCGTTAAAGTGTTTTATTTAACCTAATACATAATTTTTCGTATCTTCTTCCCACATTTTCTCCTATTAGTTCTTAGCAGCCTGATTTTTAAAGCCTTCCACGATCATTGCTCTAACCACCAAACTCTTTAGCCCTATATATTAGTATAGATTTCGCGTAGCGTATCCGAAGTCTTACTCCGAAGCCGGATATTCGGTTACGTCTTTACTGTTTTTACGTTGTTCTAGTTAGGAATTTATTTATAATTTCTTAGATGGCGTTAGCATCTTCACATGTTGTTGTTGCTATCCGTTGTTTACGAGAGAAAAAAATGTTTTCATTTGTTTTTTGTCTGTCCATAATTACGTCTACATATAAGGACCTCACCGATGACTGTAACGAAGTTTTATTTTAATACAACTATGTATGTAAACTGTAAACTGTCTCGTTTGTCTGATGGCAATGTATGGCTAATCAACGGGTCGTCGGTACGAGCCCCACCGGGTCGAACATGTGTCTAATCAATTTATAATTTTTGTTTAATTTTTTTTTTTTACATGTGAAGGCAGTATACAATTTAAAAATCGAAAACAAATTGAAAAAACTTTCGACACGGGCAGGACTTGAATCGGCATCGTCAGCGTTCCGTGCTGTTGCTCTACCAGTTGAGCTACCTCATCGTCGAATTTGACGATCATTGCACGACAGACTGTACTCAGTAATGGGCCTAAAAGTAGCTTTAAAAAATTAACTAACTTTAAACGTAACATACCCCCCCCGCCTCTAGCCGACCACGGCTGGTGCAAAGTATCCGAACTTAAAATAATTCAAATTAGTTTAACTAATAAATATCGCGTTTGAAACTGTTATAATTTTAACTTTTAACGGATTAAAACGCGAAAGATATTAACTAATTTACGAACAGGCACTTTAAATGTTCAGCAGCAGTCACACATATTTAAAATAAGGTCCTAAATGGTTTATTATAGGAGACGAGATAAATCTATCATCGTAAGTCCTAAAATAACTTGTCGATACAAAATTGGGACGAATATTAAGTGGTCCGGTGACTAGGTCAGACGGGACAGATATAGACATTTTTGGGACGGACATATTTAGAAAACTAACTAACAGTATATTGTCCCAAAAATAATATAGACCATCTGTGTAGATTAAAAGTCAAACGTGTTGCCAAACGTTAAGCACGAACGATCGCGGCTTCCGATCCCGGGAAAACGATAAAGTTTCGGTCCGGCGGGGCACAGTGATCTAATCAATTTAAATCTCTTGTCTGTTTACGCGAAATAAAACACTTTTAACGGTTTAAAACGCGAAATAAATTAATTAGCTTATTTAAACTAAAGTACAGCGTATTGAACGTACATATGATAAATAATAAAGTTTCATTGTAACGCTTTCTGAAATTTTGTGTTGCAGTGTTATAAGTGATGTGTAAAACGATAGGTTTCGTCCTATATTATACTAGTTGTTACTCACGACGTTGTTCGTGTCCGGTCGTTCTTACGAGTTAGTCTTAACGCGGACATTTTTAGATCATACATATCTTTTGGGTATCTCGAACCGTTTTCGCGGCGTACGCATCAGAAACCATCAGAGCTGAATAATTTTCCCCGTTTTTTCCACATTTCCCCCTGCTTCCTCGCTCCTATAAGTCACAGCGCTATGTTTTGTAGCCTTCCTCAATAAATGCTTTAACCAACACTAAAAATATTTTTTCAATTCGAAGCAGTACTTCCTGAGATTGACGCGTTCAAACAAACTCTTCAGCGTTATAATATTAGTATAGAGATAAACAAAACAGGGGAGCTCAACGTTTTATTTCTGTATCGTTTACAATCTTATACGCAAAGACCCTCGTGGGGATCGTTATTTTGCGGTATAGAAAAAATAGTTGATCGACATACAGCGAGGGTGGCGCGCGTAAAAGAGCATAGGAATTTGTGGGGGGTTCGGAGGGAACAATAGGTTACGCACCCCTGCTGTGTAATTGTTTACCCACTTGGGGATATAATTGTACTTCCGATTTCAATTAGCTAACAATTGCTAACAATTGTCGATCCTTTTCGTCTGATGGCATTGGAGTTTGTTTTTTCTTTTAGTGTATGCTATTTTGATCGCATATTTTTATAGAGACGTATACATGGGGGTGGAATAGCTTAAACAACAACAAGATATGCTATCGAGCTATTGTCACTAGTACGATTGTTGGCGACTCGATAATTCTTATCGATTTGATGATAACCAGATTTCTAGGATTTGTCTATAACAGAGAAGGAGAGACAAGTATGAGATTCTATGCTAGGTAACGTCACGCCTCAAATTTTTTCGTCTATCGGTAGTTTGTGGTATTCCTACCACCCATTTGATATCCAGATTTCCAGGCGAAGAACATGTTTCATGGGCATTGACCGGCACTTCTCCTCTACTCTGGGTGGTGATTGGTGAAGCACATGCCGAGTGCTTTTCCCCATTTCACAAGCACTCGTCCAAGTTTTTTATTTGTTTGTTTTTCTTCTTTCACTTTTTTTATAAATGTTAGTTATTGAAGCTTATATTAAAGTTATTTATTCTGTCTTGAAATGAATGGTTTGAATTTGAATTTTAGTTTCATATTGATTTTTTTTAACTTTTGTGCCTGGAAATTAAATCTAATCGTGTCTTGTCTATACATCGCCACCATAAGACAAATAAGCCCGCACAATATATTTATATAGGTTTAAATAAAACACTATAACGGTATAAAACGCGATATATTTTAGTTAAACTTGTTTGAAATTTTTTTTTAGCCTCCCCGTGACCACGGCTGCTGCACAGCATTCGAAACATCGGGCCGTAGTTAAAAATAAATTTCAAACAAGTTTAACTAAAATTTATCGCGTTTTATACCGTTAAAGTGTTTTATTTAAATGTCTACTACTCGCGTAAACTATAGACAGTATTTATATAGTTTGTATATTAATTAAGAAAGTAAAAGTAAATATTTTGACTATTTCTTAGGCTCATTTATATTATGCTGGCGACAAACTCGAATGAGTTTTTAATGAAATTTATTATTTATAAACAAAGGTTCTATGAAATGAAATGCTCAAGCAATATATCTAACGACTGAAGATTGGACCTATGTATTTCGAATTTGTATTTTTATCTGTTCGAGGTTGCATTAGGAATAAGTAAAGTGTAATAGAATTAAAATTAAACAATACGGTTGAACTTCAATAAAAAAAATTAAATTCAATGTTTAGTTTTTCAGTAAAAAAAACGACAACGTACACTTACTTGCCAAACAGTGGATGCCAGAGGTGGTACGCTGCAGGGTCATGCTGTGGTGGTTCCAGGGGTGTCGTGCTGCCGACCTCCGTCTCATCACGTCGTCGTGGGGCCCCAGATCCTCGCGTCCTAGCACCTGGCTCCAAGAGGTTCTGGAGCGATTTAACACTGATACGAGGCCGCGTAGGGTCTTGAGACCCGCGAGGTCCTGTCTGAAGGTAGTTGTTGTTCGGACAGTACGAGGTGGGGCTCTTCTGCGGTGCGCGGGGGGAACGCTGACTGAGCAAGCCGGTCATAGGCGCGGGCTGACGAAGCGCCGGTCCATACATCCCGGCCAGGAATGGGTTGTGGGCCATCGACCGCGCGCTGCCGTAACTATGGGCTATTGGGCTGGTCCGCGCTGAGGAATGCTTGCCCTGACTCTTGGTGGAATGTACGAAGGGGTTCTGGACGTCACTCGATTTTGACAATTCCTTCATTTGCTCCGGGACAGAGTTTTTGCTCCGGTGCGTGCTTGCGTGGGACATCGCTTCCTGCCACATCGCGAACTGCATCCGGTTGTCGTAGTCCTGCATCGCGGGCATACCCGGGAACCCACCGGGACCCATAAACCGCGCGGACGGATTGAACATTTGCGACAGCTCCGGGTAACTCGACCCGTTGTATCCGGACGAGTTCAGCGCTTTGAGGAAGTCCATGTTCTGTGCGGCCACCGCCTCCAGCTGGCCCAGGTATGGTAGCCAGAGCATTTGGTTGAGGGCTGCAGAGGTGGCGGCATCTATGTCTCCGGCTAGCGCGTCCATCGACGGTATCGGTTTGGGCTGAGGTTGTTCCTTCTCCTTGGAGGAATGTACTCTGTTCGTGTCCTTCAACTTTGGCGACATTAACTGCTTGGTCTCCCGGTCTAAGAGCACGTGTTCCAGCTGTGTCAGGGAAACGACGAGTATGTCAGGGTCCTGCAGAATAGCTGGGAAGGCGAAGGTCGCGGGGAGCCGGAGTTCTGGTCGCTGTATCAGCAGTGCAGGTATCTCACGACCTGGCGCCTGCAGGATCGCTTCCAGCTTATCTTTGGGTATCAGTAAGGGGTCAGGCAGAGTGTAGTCGGAGCGAGACTTTAAAATGTTAAACTGTTGCAATGGTGTGTTCACATCGGGCTTCTGAGGCGTTCGTTCCGACTTTTTGTGATTTTGATCCTCGTTGCATTTACTAAACACTTTGCTAATCTTTGCTAACTCATCAATAGACTCCCGTCTAGATTTCTTCTCGTGCGGCTCGCCGAAGTCTTTACTTATCTTCTTTATTTCGTCAGAACAACTGGACACCGTTGGACTCGCGGATTTCCTGTGTTTCCCTAAGTTTATCGGTTCGCAGTGTTGTTTCGTGATCGTCACTTCGGATGTATACATTTTTGGTGATGGCGACGAGAGGAGCGTCTCCAAGAATAGCGTCTGTTTGCTTTTGGTGAGAGGCATCGTGAAGATTTCCGGAGACGAGGGGAGGGCCGGAATGCCGCTCGGTTGCGGCGACTGCATTGCATCGGATTCTCGAGACGGCGCCCTTGGCAACTCAGTGCGTCTAGGTGAAGCCCCGGGTGTCGCCAATTTCTTATGTACACTAAGATCTCTAGGATGTTCGTCACTTCTCTCCGAGCCGTTATTGTCCCCTAAAATATTTACCACTTTCTTATGACTTACCATCAAGGGACTAGGTTCTGGGTCTAAATTCACAATGCTCAAATCGGTTGGTTGGTTCTCATCAACCGGAATAGATACAGGTATTTCCTGCTTTATTTCCACGATATTATTTGAATTGGAGTCAACTTCTTTTTTGATTGTCGTGATTCTTTGATTCACTGTCACTTTTTTCACTCTGTAAAACACATTCGCTTATTTGTTCCTCCGGTTCCGGTTCCGGCTCCGGCTCTTCAGCCACGGGTAGCATAACCTCAGAGTGATCTGGTAATGATGGCGCCGGGGGTTCCTCAAATTGCTTATCTAAGAATGTCTCGTTCGAGTCAGGTACTTGTTCAGTATACATGATATCGGTCATACCGACGTCGTTATCTAGCCTCTTTTCGTCATCGTTATGACTAAATTCCATATCCTTTACGTCATTATTATTCTGCACTTCCGGCGCATCTAAACTTTGAAGGCCACATTCTTCCGTAGCGAAAACAGCATCGGACATGTAAGTATCCATTTGCTGTTGCTCGGGATGCTGCAAATGGTCACCTATGTGATGTAAATGCAGCAGGCCTTGAGCGGCCGTCATACTGCTCCGACTGGGAGACTCGAGGGATTGCTCTAGACGCTCTATAATATCTGATACAGGTGCGTTCCCGAGCAACATGTCTTCGTCCTCTCCAGGGTAGTCGGGGGCCGAGTGCACAAGATGCGCCAACTTATCTAGCGCTTGTCCTAGTATCTGATTGTCTTCACAGCCTTTTTCTACCAGAGACTCCAGCAACGCCTCATCGTGAGGCCCGTCCAACTCGGGCAAGTAATGCGCCTCGCTGATCGTCTCGAACAGGTCCTTGTGCTCTGACATATCTCCTGGAAACTCGTCAGCTCTTTCGGAGGGCACTTTCCTTTCAAAGAACATCTCCTCAGTCGGTTTCGCCTGTCCTATCTCGAAGGACATCGCGTCTTGCGGTGTTTCCTCCGGGGGGATGAACTCGTAAGACGGATGGGTCGGACTGGTGGCTTCCAGGCAATCCTCGCTACGTTGTTGATTAAACTCTAGTTCAGCGACAGCCAGGAGGTTGTCCAGCGGCGTGGCCACTGGGGGCAGCGCCCGAGGAACGGCTATCGTATGTGACGGGATGTGCGACTCCAGATCTGGAGCCAGCCACTGCTGCTCGAGGCGCGGCGAACGCACCCTGCGCCGGGAGCCGCCGCGGCGCTTGCGCCGACGTCTCTCCCGCGCAGTTCTACGGCGCGGCACAGGAGCGGGAGGCGGCGGCAGGCGGATGGAGTTGTAGATCTCCGTCCGCGGGATGACCCGCCAGCCGAGCGGAGTTCGGGCTATACGGATGCGGTTCCTGGAGTCGTAGTCCTCGCAGCGCACCTCCTGCACGGTGCCGTCCAGCTGTCGCGCCCACAGAAAGAGGGGGCGCAGGCGCGGGGCAGCGGGTGTCGCGGTGCGGGGCGCTGCGCTGCGCGCGCGTCGCTGTGCCGCGGTCGGACAGAGGGCACGGGGCACGGGTGGGGGCACACTGTGGGGGCGCGCGACATCGAGGCGGGCGGCGCGAGGCTCGCCGCCGCCGCCGGGCGCTCGCGGAGACACTCCGGCCGCCGCAAGACTCTCTCAGGCGACGACCGCGCGGACGCGGCCCCGAGGCGGACTGGCGGCGGCCGGCGCCCTCCGCCCGCCCCGCCCCGCTCCGCCCCGCACACCCGACCCGCCCAGCATCGATCCGGCCCCTTCCCCGCCCCGACTCCGCACGTAAACACCTCCGTCGCACACAGTTAATCTCAAATCCATATCTATACGATCCGCCCACCGGTTGACCCTATCAATTTGGAACTAGTCTAAGGAAAGTATGATGCACCGCGGAGCGCTGCCTCGGACGGCTGAGTCGTGACACACATTCGTAGGGTCGTAATTATTCCGCGTGCTCCCTACTCGCTGCTCGCTGCGAGGGCAACGCGCTCCACATCAATTGAACGTCAAAACATCGCGGCTCGTCTAGTTTTAATTTTATCTCTCTCCTCCACTTAAGGGAACCGACGAAGGAGATAACTACTTACAAACCCCTTTACGATCTAATTGAATTATAAAGTTCTATCAAAGAAATTATTTATAACAACATTAGCGCATTTTTTAATTTCTTTTATGTTGGCAAAGGAAATTTGTTGAATAACGTATTAATTCTTTAATAATTTAGCGATGTTAATATAAATGCAACTGATGTATGGCAAAATAATGATAGGTGGCGCTGTTTGAAAACTTCGTCAAATATTTTCTTTAGTTTATACTAACGCAGCAATATGCCGATAGGTGGTAGTGATAAAGACATAATCAAATCTTTTTAATAGCTCTTACTGATGCAAAAACATGCCGATAGATGACGCTGTTACAAAACTTAATTAAATCGTTTTATAACCGCTACTCGTATCTACAATAAGCTGATAGACGTCACTGTTAGAAACGTAGTTAAGTTTTCTAAAATACATACTAATGTAGCACGACGTGGATAGATGGCGCTGTTCCGCTATTAAAAGACCCCGATACTCTTTTAAATATATTCAACAGTATGTACATTAACTTTACATAAATGCAATAAGTCGTTAAATTTAGTCTAAATCACTTAAACTAATAACAAATATTGAAAAAAAAAAAGCATTAATACATTATTGTACTGAAAAGACTCAATTCTTATTTTAGTTAAGTCCGGCTACACTTGATGAAAGATGAAATACGCCAGCCATTTACAAAGATGGGCTGTCGACCTGTTTTTGTTTGGATATTCGGAAATCCACAGACTGACACCGAAACGCGATAAATCTGGACGAAATTCCAACATATCTACCAACCATTTAATATGCAGATTTCCAGATGAAGTACAACATGTTTCAGAAAAATTTGATAAGACTTTTTGGATCAGGTGGGAATCGAACCGACGGCCCGTTGATTAGCCAAACATTGATACCATTACAACGGGCCCGCCAAAGCCCGTGACCCGATGTAACCACTGCTCCTCGCGTTTAAAACCGTTAAATATCTTTGTAATTAAATACTGTCTATAGTTTACGCGAGTAGTACACATTTAAATAAAACACTTTAACGGTTTAAAACGCGATATATTAGTTAAACTTATTTGAAAATGATTTTTAACTTCGGCCCGACGTTTCGGATGCTTTGCAGCAGCCGTGGTCCCAGGTGTTTGATAGTTTGAGGCCGTCCTCCCTATTGAAATTTCGGTGTTTTTTGATTTCAATTGCTTCGCGTACCAATCTTGGAAAAAAAAAAAAAAAGAGTCGATTTTTTCCAAGATTGGTACGCGAAGCAATTGAAATCAAAAAAACACCGAAATTTCAATAGGGAGGACGGCCTCAAACTATCAAACACCTGGGATCCCATATTAAAAACTCTGGATCCCAATAAACAGCATACCAGCAAACGCGAAGACACCGTTAGTCAATTCTGTAAGGACCCGGCCAGTTTCGCCAAATACCAACTTCGACGGAACAGATGGCGCTAGCGTAGCAATTCTTTACTTTGACGTCTGAGACATCCTCCATCTTTAGTCTCCCCGTGACCACGGCTGCTGCAAAGCATCCGAAACGTCGGGCCGAAGTTAAAAATCATTTTCAAATGAGTTTAACTAATATATCGCGTTTTAAACCGTTAAAGTGTTTTATTTAAATCTTTGTAATTACTAACTCTGAAGTAGCTTTAACCACTAAACATATTTAATCTTCTTTCTTTGCTCTGTGTTGTCTTATATTGTAGAAATGAATTTGTTTTAAAAGGTACAAGGACCCAAATGCAATGACCACAGCCGTTCCGAACATAGCCAAGTTGTGGTGGTTCGTATCACCCCGAGGAACATACCAGCTTAGCCCTTCTCCCACCTAAAATAATAATGAATTCATCATTATAATGGCAGGAAATAAATAAAACATTTTAAACGGATCAGAACACGAAATATATTAGTTGGAAAACAGAGGTAACCGTCAGAAGATTTAACTTTTAATATGGGACACGCCCCACGCAAAACGTCGTGCCGTTGTTGAAAAGAAATTGTAAGTAATTAAACCAATATTTTCGCTTAGATCTACTACCACCTAAAATAATAATGATTTATTATAATGTCATGAATAAAATAAAACACTCTAAACGGTTTAAAATGTGATTTTTTGTATAATTTACGACGCGAACCGGTAAACTACGTAACGAATTGTAGATGTAATACACTGTCCGTAGTTTACGCTAGTAGTACACATTTAAATTTACACTTTAACGGTTTAAAACGCAATATATATTACTTAAACTTATTTAAAGTCAGCAGAGAGCTGCAGATAGAAATAAAATAATAAAGTTAGAGTTTTTTATACTTAATATAAGCTATACATAAAGTGACTTACAGTTATAGGAACGTGCTTCCAAAAGCACTTGTTTTGACTCCTCGGGCAAAAGCTATTGGTAGACGACACTTCAACACATTTCTCCAATTTCTTGGGTCCGCAGTTTATGAAGAACTTTGGTGTTGGAATATTAACTCTTGCGCTACTGAAATTTTAAAATTATGTATATTACGAAAAAGAGATATGTATTTGTTAATAGAAATATTAAATTATTAACAAAATATACATTTTAAACTTTATTTTTATGAGGTCTATCAGGTGAACTGGTGTACATTGTTAAGTATTGTGTTAAGAAGGTTCTAGGTTTGAATCTAGGCCAGGCATAGACCCAGTCAAACATAGAACTACACTAGAAGTCAAAATATCGGTAGTTAAAGCGAGTACTGTCTATAGTTTACGCGAGTAGTGCACATTTAAATAAAACACTAACGGTTTAAAACGCGATATATTAGTTTACTTAAAAAGGTTTAACTAATATATCGCGTTTTAAACCGTTAGTCTTTTATTTAAATAGTTATAGTGAGTGTTATGCATCAAATGAAACTTTATAAACGGTTTAAACATGAATTGTAGTAAATCAGTTTTTAATTTACTTTATGGACAAAACTGAATGTTACACAACAAATGAAACAATTTCAGCGGCTTAGAACACATTGCTGACATGATCACTTATATATAACGCGTTTTAAACCGTCAAAAGTGTTTAATTTATATGCAAAGCGAAAATCTGTAAAAAGCACATTTTGTTTAGATGTTATATGGCTGGAGTATTTTATTGTTCATTGTCCTCCTTTATTATAAAGAAAATATAAATATAACATTAATTACCCTCCACCAGCAACAGCTTTGTGGTAACGTGCGTGGACGGGCAAAGACAATAGAACTCGGTGTTTGTACACTGATCCCAATAAGTGCACTGTGATAGGAGTCGAGATCTCTGCGGCTCCTTCTATATCAACTTTATCCTTGAATACGGTTGGTGTCTGAAAATCTCTTATATATTACATTTTCCAGCCAGTGTTATAGTTCGAAAACAGGTGAAACAATTCTAATTACATTTTGTATATGCACTCTCCCGGATGTCCCGCTCATATAGTACATCTACACACAATACGTTAGTTACTACTTGCTATGAACATATTTTCTCAAAATATTAATAACAAGGACGAATTAAACACAAGTATATTTGGCATTTTAAACAATAGTGTTTATTTTTACTTTTTTTCTTATAGTAAAAATTAACCTAGTTTCTAAATAAGATATTCTGGAAAATAAGATTTGCCACCTTAAACCACTTACGGTAATGTATCTTATTTAATCTTTGTATGTAATTAGGACATAAAATTTTGTGAATGCAGATTAAACACTGTCTATAGTTTATGCAAGTAGTACACATTTAAATAAAACACTTTAACGGTTTAAAACGCGATATATTAGTTAAACTTATTTGAAAATGTGATTAACTTCGGCATCAGACATCATTTTCAAATAAGTTTAACTAATATATTGCGTTTTAAACCGTTCAAGTGTTTTATTTAAAATATAATGCAATTTACTTAAATATTATTTTTATACTGCATAGTGTTTCATATTAGCACTCATACTAACCTTATACCGTAATTCTTCAAGCTCATCAGGGTTGGCATAAAGACCTGCTGGTAGAATCTGCTCCAAACCAACCGAGCATCCCTCATACTCATTACCATCATCCTCAGGTGTTCCAAATGTTATTTCATATGTTATATTTCTGCAAAACACAGACCTTATATAATATATCTGTGAAACTCAAATACTGTCTGCAATTTACGCGAGTAGTACACATTTGAATAAAACACTAACGGTTTAAAACGCGATATATATTAGTTAAACATAATGAGACGCTTCGGATGCTTTACAGCAGTCATGGTCTCGGGTAGAATTTAACTAATATATATCGCGTTTTAAAGTGTTTTCCTTAAACTTATTTTAGGTATTAACTTGGAATAGCCATATTTACCTATGAAAGCCTTCACTGTGTAGCGTTTGTATCAATTTAATATTGAACTTGCAAATATCACCGGTCGCTCTATGCAATAGTATTAGTGAAATAGCAATGATTGTCTTACTAAGAAACTTATTATCGTGCATGTTACTGCAGTTAACTTACAAACTATTCCAAAATTCATAGAAAGAGAAACTTTGTTTTAATTAGGTGTATGTTTAGAATTATAATTAAATAATAAATTAACTCTCACTTGCATTCGAGTTTTCGAAAATTTTTATAATCACAACAAACGGACGCCTAAGAGTTGTCAATGTCGTTGAATGAAAATGACAGCTCGTGGACAATTTGACAGATCTAAAAATACATAAAACCACAGACTGTATACAGATGTATATCATTAATTTTTGTTATTTTCAACTTTTTTTCTTTAAATATCATAAATAATACACTAGCTGTGTCCGCGGCTTCATCCGCGTGAATTAGTACTTGTGGGCATTATATTATTTATTTTCGCAAACAACCTAGGAGATTTATAAATTATAACAGTTTCGCACGACACCAGTCAAACTTCGAAAACAGACATATTATACTGTCTTGGACATTTTTTAGATCAATTAAAGAACTATCAGTCTTTTATACGTGGTGTTTTGGTTTTTTGAACCGATTTCGCTGCACACTCAGGTGAATAACTCAAAAATGAATAATTGTCCATGTTTATCCCGCCTCTTCTATTGTTTCCTTGCTCCTATTGGTCCAAAAAAAAACAAATCAGTTCCTAAGTTTAGCGCCTTTAAACACAATCTCTAGCTTTATAATATCAGTATAGATCCTATCTATATTTACGTAAAGATAGGGTTTAAAAAATATTACCGGTTATAGATATATGTTTTAATGATATATGTTTTAATGATATATGTCTATCTCATCTGTACTAGTGTTTTTTATTTACTAAAGTTTGTTAAAATTTATTTTTTAATTATAATGAAGTAATTCATATGATGATAGTAAATCCTCGTGGTTCGATCGTATTCTTCTTCTTACTTGCTTGACACTAAATGTCATTGATTTGATCGGTGATTCTATTAAGGAAAATATTGTTAGGTCTTAAAAAATTATGCCTAGACTACATGGTTGTGACATTCTTAATAGGTGGGAAATATAGTGCAAGAAAGTGGCAAGTTTTTACGTAACTCGGTAAAACTTTTATATCCTAAATGAAAATAGGTGAGTTTAATTTATTTTAACTACCCTCTATATTTTCTGACTTCATTGACTACATAATTATAATTTCAACGAAACTAAGAGTTCCTATTGTGTTAGTGTAAAGACGTCATGAATTCAAACCCTTGATAAAAGTATGTTCCTATATACAATAGTGTCGATCATGTAGTGTACAGGAACAATATTTACCTGGAAATAAAGACGATGTAGAAATAGAAACCGGAATATAAATAAAACACTTTTAACGGTTTAAAACCCGAAATGTATTAATTGAATTTATTTCGACTACAACTTAACGTTCTGGATGGAAGTACAGAGCTACGTGAAATATAAAAAACGTGAAAGACACAACGCTTTGGATGCTTTGCAACGGTTACGAGAAGCACAGGGCTATGCGAATATAGTTACGGTTAAATAAAACATTTTTAATTGCTTTAAAACGTAAAAGATATTCGCTAAATTATTTTTTATTGCGACCCGACGATTTGAACCGGTATGTCTTTTTTATTTAAAGATGTACTCGCGTAAGCTACAGACAATACTTAAAGCCAAAATATTATGTCAAATGTATGCTCCACGTGGTAAACTAGATTTTATTTTCTTGAGCTATATCCTGTCTAGATCTTTAATTGTTCGTACATATGAGAGAAATACATTTTCAAGAGAACATTAATGATGTAGAGAATTGAGTCACTATAATATTAATAACGTGGTATTTTGGAAACGCAAAATTGCAATCATTGGTCACACATTCGTTCGCGCTAACTTGCTAACTTCTCGGACCTGTTCCGCCAGGGTGACAATCGTACGAGCTATTCGAGTCTACAAAACATAACGCGCTATTTGACGATGCGAAAAATATAGCGTCACTTACTGTTATCACTATCAAGTGTTAGTTTAGAAATAGTAAAACAGTCACATAATATGTTATAAATATTAATTGATTTGAATAAAGAAAGCAAATAAAAATTAACTTTTTCAAACATTTGTCACGTGACACAAAAGCTCCTGATTGGTTTATGACGTCACTTGCTTATAAAGTGATACAAACCACCGTGCTTCTTAGTGTTACAACTGTTCTATTCTCTGCATTAATAAATAAATAAATTTGTAAAACATGTTATTACTTCAACCACTGTTAAAATGTAAATGTTTGGTACATTGTAGATTGTATAATTGACATACACCAGTGCCGATTTAAGGTTGTGACGTCACTAGCCGTATTGCTACGTTATTTGGCAAAATTAGCGTTTAGGCGCGCAAAGTAAATGTTGGAATTTAATTGCATTAATTATATTAAAGTCAAAGTAAAAAATTGCTACGCTATCTACTTTGACGTCAGAGATATCCCCCATCTTTAGTCTCTCCGTGACCACGGCTGCTGCAAAGTATCCGAAACGTCGGGCCGAGGTTACAAATCACTTTTAAATAAGTTTAACTAATATATCGCGTTTTAAACCGTTAAAGCGTATTTAAATGTGAACTACTCGCGTAAACTATAGATAGTATTTCATTTTCAAATAAGTTTAACTAATGTACATCGCGTTTTAAACCGTTAAAGTGTATTTAAATGTGAACTACTCGCGTAAACTACAGAGTATTCAACTTATCCAGCATTGTGCAACCTCATGGTCACTCTAAACAACTTGATTAACAGTCGACCAAAGCAGTTTTCCTCTGCGCCCGTAAGTGGCCGGTCGTGCGTCCACTTATTCTTTGCTTTTATTCAATTTGAGCGTGCATTCTGCAAATATAACAACGGTGAGTGTTTTGTTTGCATTCCACAAGATAGCGAACGATTGGATTGTTTAAAACTTTGTTCATGGGAGAGATAAGTTAATCGACGCATTGGCGAGGTGAGGTGAAAACATCGACGTTCGCCGAGTGATACGGACGGACGTTGTTGATGATTTTCGGAAATATTTTTCACGTTCTAACGGTTTAAAACGTGAATTATACGTTTGATATTAAAAAGCACTATATGAATTAAAAAGCGATATTAAATTAATTGACAAAATAATTTCGACTCGTGCAGGACTTGAACCGGCATCTTCAGCGTTCCGTGCTGTTGCTGTAACCAATTGCGCTGCCGAGTCCAATAAATTGAGAGGTGTGGATTATAGTATAACTTATTTTTTATTTATTTTGACTACGGCCCGACGTTTCGGCTGGTTCATCTAGCACGCGGGCTGAATTATTCGCGTTTTAATCCGTTAAAAGTGTTTTATTAAAATCGGTACTGCTCGCGTAAACTACGGACTTTCTCATTTTTATCCTTTGGACAACATTTTGCATCCTATTATTAAAACTTCTATTCGTCGGTTTTAAGATATCTTAATTTATATAAAAAAAATCTGATCTCGAAATTGTAACAAAAAATTTAAGCTCTGTTAAACTTCACAGCTTTTTTATCTTATCTATTACATAACAATTATTAAGATGCGATGTTGATCTATATCCTTATATGTGCGGATGTAGAGAGATCTGTAACCGAAACGCGACTATACATTTCACGGCTTGTTTCGTTTGACTCGAGCAAAAGCGGAAAAGACAACATTCCTACCATTTAATGTTTCGATTAGACGTTGGGTTTGAACCAATCCAATGGTAATCGAATCCACGACCCGTCAGTTATTAGCCAGTCCTTCGAATCATGAGAGCTATAATCACGCGACCTACTGATAGGTTGCGTAATTGTAATTTTTTATTTGACTTCAAATACAATAGACATAGGAAATAATTACTGGTTGATGATTGTGGAATGTGCACTAGCTGTGTCAGCGACTTCGTCCGCGTAGAGTCATTTTGGCCATCTAAATATGTTTTTGCAAATTTTCTCTTCATTTTTATAGATTTTAACTATTGCCTACGACTTCGGTCGCGTCGACTTTCAAACGAACAAACTCTTCCGTTTTATATATTAGTATAGAAGTAAAGATTTTTTATTAATGTTTAACCAAATGGAGCTAATTGAAAAGCGATGTATGGAAATAAAACACTTTAACGGTTTAAAACGCGATATATTGGTTGAACTTACGTTACGTTAGCCGTGTTTACTGCTGCGAAGCCGAAGTTAAGAATCATTTTCAAATAAGTTTAACTAATAAATCGCGATTTAAACCGTTAAAGAGTTTTATTTAAGTATGAACTCGTGTAAACTATAGGCAGTATTTAAGCGAAGTATGGCTAATAGCGGAGCGTGGACTCGATCCCTAACTGGATATTGGGATAATGGGAGGTATAAATATCGAAAATTCCGTCCGGGTCCGTCCGTCCAGAGATGAAAACGCTGTTCCGGTCAGCCTGTGCATTTGGTACATCCAGGGCCAAAATAGGCCGACAGTGCATCACGTATATATAAGCGTTGCCTGTCCTCTATCATAAAACTCCCCCCCCCACCCCCCCGAATGGGGGGGCGAACTCAGGACCTTGTGCTTGCGCTTGGCCACACGTTTAGCTATTTACACAAATTCCTTACAGCGGTTGAGATGTAGTAAACAATACTTGGCCTGTTTCAAAGGAATTGTTTGCATTTCTTATCGTTTTATTAGCAATAAACCAATAGAATCGAATCCAATACAAGCGTTGACGCATTATACAAACATTTACGCTTCAATATATCTGTCAAGCCGATTTCAACCTTATCCACACCAATATATAAAGCTGAAGAGTTTGTCCGTTTGAACGCGCTAACCTCAGGAACTACCGGTTCGAATTGAAAAATTATTGTGTTCGTTAGAGCATTTATCGAGGAAGGCTCTAGGCTATAACACACCGCGATGTGACTAAAAGGAGCGAAGAAACAGCGGGAAATGTGGAAAAACGGGGGAAATTATTCATCTTTGTGAGTTTCCAATCCGTAAATCCGTAAAGAATGGTATCAAAGAAATATTCCTCTTTAAAGAATCTAAAAATGCGACCG